CTCTGATACATAAAAACCCTTTCAAGAGGCAGAGCCAGGATTTATGCTAATTCCACCTGATGCCAGAGCTTGGACCTTGAACAACTTCACTCTACAGATGTGGGGCACTATGAAAATAATGACAGGTGAAAACTTTCCCAGCTCAGAGATCTCTGTGGTCACTCAAGGGTGAAAGGGAGAATGAAGATAAAGTCGCCTTCTCAGAGAAGTCCTCCCTAACATTCGTGTCTGGATTCAAGGCTGCTTCTCTGTGCTCCCGCGAATCCTTAGGTAGCTCTCATATGAAATCTTCCCACTGTGCACCAAAAGAGCCCATGAGTTCTGCCACCTGCAGCTTTAGAATTGGGTTCATCTGTCTTCTCTATCACTGTATTTGCAGCACCTTGCCCAGGAGATAGTACACATTCAGTAATTTTTGTTGGAATGACTGAAAAAAAGAATATGTGAAAGAGAAAAAATTCTTCACTTGTCTGTCCCACCACTGTTCTGTGCACTCCCAGCCAACACTGTCTGGCGCACAGCAGGCGAGTCACACACAGGGGAACACTGGTGAGAGTCGAAAACTTACTCGGGTTTCTTATTGTCTGCTCTAGTTGGAGGAAGGGCAGCTGAGAGTGATGAGGGGCAGAGACATCTGTGTTTTAGGATGGAGAACGTGGACAAGGGGTAAGAGAGAAGGCGGGAAAGAACCGACAACAGAAAGCAAGTAAAATACTGTAGGGAAGATAGTGACAATTTCTAACCCAGGCCCAAATGAATCTGGTTTAAACAAAGAGAACCCTCCCAAACATTTTTAAGACAAACTTCTTCAGCTTCCTGTTTCCCTTCTTCTTCCCCTCCTCTGCTTCCTCTTCTTCTAATTTCCCTAAGGCCTAAGAACTTTGAACTTCACCTTCTAGCCAATGAGAAGTAATTGACACTCGAGGTGGAGAGAATTGGAAGGGCTTGTTATAATCACATTTGCATTCTAGAGGAAACAATAAAATGTCTAATATTTACTCATGGGTCAAAACTGATGTCATCCCCATCCAATTTGCACCAATAACACATTGGGGATGATTTGGCCACTTGGCTCCTTTGAATAAGCACCTAATCATGAGAACCCTGAAACAGAGAAGGCACCACGCAAGGAGAGACACTATCATTCATCATAGGCTGCCAGCCCCATGCTTCCCTAAAGAGAATGCCCCAACCACTAAGGCTACAATATACCAGACAGGGATATTGGGTGTATCCCGTTCCTCTTTGGTGCACCCCAACAGATGAACTCTTTTCTTCTTTAGGATCCTCAGGTTAAGGATGTAATTGTTCAGTCCACATGCATTAGGAAGGGTTAGGACAAAATGCTTCCTCCTGCCCTTTATGCCTCTGGCTATTTTAAGGACTATCTAGAAGGGGGTGGGGAGGACATGTTTCTCTATCAGGATTCCTAAGCCCCGACATTCCAAGCACAAAAGTGGTTGAAGTAGAACCTACCAGAGCAATAGACATTCTTTGAAATCTGCTAGAGGGTTTCACCCCCTGCAGGAAAATAATTCACAGACACACCAAGCTTTGATTCAATATGATTTATTCTCTGCTCCTCTGCCATTAACAATCCAGTTGCTAAATTGCTCTCCATCTGTGGGATCCCACTGTTGGGAGAAGAGGTCTGGGTCCTGTACTGCAACCCTCTCAATGGTAGAATAGAAGCACAGCTGCCTCAGTTATCTCCCGGCTGCTGCTGTAAGCAACGTGAGTTCCATATCCATCCCAATCAAACGCAGAGAAATCCCCACACTGGCGGGGATTGCCCTCTGGGAAGAACCCTCCTCCGCCGATGCAGTGCTGGGAAACAGGGAGAGGAAGAGACAGAGATGAGAGATCTGCTGGTGAGGACAATGACAGCCTAATGGCCAAATCGAGTGGAGTCTTTGGTCCTCAATAGACTCACCATTGGCAGTGTCGATCTGTTCCTCCCATAAAAACCTCTGTACCTTTAGCTTTAGTGACCTCATTGTCTGCTCCTCACTGTCCTCCAAGTTTTCTGAACACTCATTCTCAGATTCCCTGGCAGGACTCTTCCTTAATGAATTCTTTAAGTGCTTCTCCTCAGTACGGGACACATCTCCCTGTCCCTTACAGATTGCATGACCACTTTGGCTTCAGTTACTAACAATTCACTATGGCCCCCAAATCTCTATCTCCTGTGCAGATGTTCCTTGTGCCGAAGACCTCGAAATCCAACCTGAATCTCTACACACGAATCTCAAGCTCCGTATGACCAAAACAAAGTTAAATATTCCTCATGGACTCCAAACTGTTTGTCATCAGACACCCTTACTTAATGAACGACACTCATTCACCCAAACGAAAACCATCAGCTATTCTAGACTTCTTCCCTTCCCACCCTCTGTATTCAACTGGTATTCCATTTAAAATCTTGGAAATTCATTGATACCCATCATTCATCCCCACAGGCACGTGGGGGAGATGGCCTGAATGAAGTTCTAGAAGGTGATGTCCAGGACCCTCCTGGTAACCCCCAACACAGTGTGTAGCTATGCAAGACCTGGCCAGGGTTGGGGAAGCCCAGTTTTTCTCTGAAAGCTAAATCTCAGGTGAAGAAAGACAACATTTTGTGTTTCTCAATGAATTTCAGCTCCGAAAGGCTTCCACACAACGTTTCTGTGTGGAAGCCTCACCCCAACTCCAGGAAACTGAGTGCTTTTTCCCAAAGGCTGAGCATCCAGCAGTGGCTCTTGTGAAGCTCCAGCCCTTGATTTTAGTCCTCAAAGCTATAGGATGTCTGTACCTGGACAAAGGTCCCACAGCTCTGCCCCTGAAACCCAAGAATGAGCAAGAGAAAGTCACACTCACACACACACACACACACACACTCACACCACACTCGTACCACACTCAACGCACATACCAACGCACAGTGAAAAACTCAACCTTACAGCCCCTTTGGTCTCCACAAAGACTCACGATCTCAGTGTTACATCCGGTGACCCTCACTCCAGCACACAAGGCGTTGGCTGCTCTCTCGTTATTAAATACCCTGAACTGAACATATCCCGCAGTGAATTCCTCTGAAAACAGGAGACAGAAAACAGCATTCAAGGAAGATGCTAGAATTAGCCTTCTTTACACCAGCCCAGAGATTCTCTATGCTGAAGCTTAGGCTACAGCCCAACACTCCAGCCACACTGGTGGAGCTCAACTCCTCTGGGGCCAATGGATGGTGCATCCTGGCCCCAAATGTCCCATCAGGGTCCTCTTCCTAGCCCAGACACCAAGAGCTTGTCCTCACGGGGGGCCTCTCATCTGCCAGAGGCTTGTGAAGAGAAATTCAACTATGCAGGAAGATCACACTGAACACCTCCATGGGCGGAGTTGCAGCCATTAGGAGGCAGATTCACTCTGTTCCTCGATACATTTTTCTTACTCTCCTTTATGTAAAATCCCAAATGTCAATGATAACGGCTTTGAATTTTACAGCACAGGCTCAGCCTCTGTGAAAGATATCATGCTGCCAACTTTAGATTCACACAAAATAAACTAATGGTTACTCCTCACAATAAAAAAAAAAAAAAAGGGCCTCCCCATTTTGTTGATTGTTCTGCCCTGTGTACATGAACCTGGCCTGGTCCTAACAAGTTCCCGAGGGGCTGACAGCGGAGTTGTTAGGACTATAGCGTCTGGAGCCAAATTTCCTCAGTGCAAATGCAAGCTCCCCTGTGTACGTGCCCTGTGATCTCAGCAAGCTCGCGAACCTCTCAGTGCGTCTGTTTCCTAAAATGAGGTTAATGATAGCTCAGACCATAAGGCCGGAGCCGACAAAATGGAACAACACAGGTAACATTCATAGAAGAGAACCAGGCCGTGGTTACTGATTAATAACTGCTACCTGTCCTAACTGAATGAATTCGATCAAAACTGAAACTCTTCCTACCAAGAGTTCAGAGGAGCATTAAAGACTCACTTCGGCCATTAGGGGAGTAATAAGACGCTGTTTTCTGGGCATCGCCAAAATCGTAGACCACAGGGATCGCCGGGCCGTTGTCGGTCCAACACTTTCCTTCTCCATATTTCACAGGGAATTTCTATGGGGAACAAGGAAAGTCATTGAGCAAGGACAATAGCTTTGTCCTCACCAGCCATTCCTTCCCAGGGATGCTGCCGCTCACTGAGGGAAAACAATGCCTTCTCAGTAACTGAGATTGTCTCAAAACGAGTCAAAATGATACTCTTTTCCCCCCCAATAATGTTCTGAAATAAAAAATAAATAAAATAAATAAAAACAGGTTATTCTCGAACACATGTAAATAAATGATAAGCCTAAATAAAACATGGGATTATCATTTTGAGTTTACATAACATTTTTCTTGATACTCTGGGACAATAGATATAGCAAATTTACTAGAAAAATACGAAATAGTCATTTGATTATTGAGCACCATTTGTTTATAAGAAGCTTCTTACTAAAAAAAAAAAAAAAAAAAAAGATCTTTCCCTGTTGCTGCTGCTAGTCACTCAGGAGCTCTGCTTCTCCAACAGCCCAGACCACTTCATTCTCATTTTCTCTCTCTCTCTTTCCTCTCCTGCCCCAATTCTCCTCTCCCGTAGGTCTTTTCTCTTGCCTGGCTCAGAACTCTTGAGAGAAGCGGGACAGAAGCCACCAGCAAATCAAGGTTAGGAGAACACAGGAGACAGGCCCACTGAAAGACGGCTCCTGCCCAACCTTAAACACTTGTTTCTCGGCACACCCATAGAAACGAGCCCCGGCCAGCCGCCCTGTGTACCTGGTAGAGGCCAAACAGGTTATGTCCCAGTCTCTGGAGGAAGCCGGTTTCGGTGTGGTACCTCAGCAGGGAGCTGTTCCTCCAGTGCTTCAAGGGGGACTTGTTGGGCACGTGCCAGATGCTCAAGTCCTGGGCCTGGATGTCGTAGTAGCCAGGGTTCTGCACAGCAACACACACTGAGACTGACGGGGCCAGGGGGTCCCACGAGCCAAAGGCCCACACGTGCAGCCCTCAGCTGAGCTGACAGCTCTGGGCTCTGGGAGTGAAGCAGATGGCGACCTGTGCTCAGACACCCCCACCTTCCAGCTGATGAGGACTCCCCACCACCCACATCCCTAACCACCTTGTGGGGAGGAAATTGTGATTCAAGATGTGTAACTATGTCTTTCCTCTTCTCCAGCCCTGTTTCCATGTCCCCACCTTCCCACTCTCCCTCCTGCATGCTGTGGCCAGACACACTCAACTCCTCGCCCTCTCCCAGTGCGTGGGAAGTGGGACCAACCTTGTAGTCGTCGCTCGTGGCTGCCTCTGCAGACCCAAAGGTGTTGTAGTTGGCCCAGTTGTTGTCCCCCTCTGGGTAGTTTGCTTTGCTGCCCTGCTGACTGGACCAGCGATCACCCACCGTGCACTTCCCATACATGTCGTTCTCGTGCACACTTGCCACCAGGGTCCAGCCGCCACCCCCAGTGGTCATGTCACAGAAGGTCTGGTAGACAACACCATTCTCAGTGCGGAGGAAATACACTCCATCTGTAGAGAGAACCAGCCAGAGCCTCCCTGTCTGAGAGCTCATGGCCATGTCAGCCCCAGGACGAGAGAGGCCCTAGGAACCAGAAACGTGGCCTAAACCTCCTCCCTCAGTCCTGTCACTAAGTATTCCTGGGGGGCCTGGAATCTCCCTGAGTTCAGAAGATCACATTCCTGACACTGAGGCAGAACATAGAGTTACCAAAACTCCAAGTGGCCAGTGATGTTCCTGTCAGGTTAAGCATGGAATGATCATATGACCCAGCAACTCCACCGCTAGGTTTATACTCAAAAGAATTGGGAAAAGGGACTCACACAGACACTAGTGCACCAGTATTCATTGCAGCGTGAGTGACGAGAGTCACAACAATATTTGAGTTGAGAAACAACCCAAATATTCATCAAGAGATGAACAAACAAGGCCGGGCACGGTGGCTCACGCCTGTAATTCTAGCACTCTGGGAGGCCAAGGCAGGAGGATCATTTGAGCTCAGGAGTTCGGGAACAGCCTGAGCAAGAGCAAGACCCCGTCTCTACTAAAAAAAATAGAAAGAAATTAGCTGGCCAACTAAAAATATATAGAAAAAATTAGCCGGGCATGGTAGCACATGCCTGTAGTCCCAGCTATTTGGAAGGCTGAGGCAGAAGGATCGCTTGAGCCCAGGAGTTGGAGGTTGCTGCGAGCTAGGCTGACGCCATGGCACTCTAGCCCAGGCAACACAGTGAGACTCTGTCTCAAAAAAAAAAAAAAGAAAATAGATGAACAAACAAAATGCAGAGGGTGTGTGTCTGTGTGTGTACATATACATATACACAGTGGATAAAAAGGAATGACATATCCATGCTACGACACAGATCAACCTTGAAAACATTTTGCTGAGTGAAATAAGCCAGACACAAGGAGACAAATATCACATGACTCTGCTTATATGAGGTAACTGGAACAGGCAAATCCATAGGGACAGAAAGCAGAAGAGCAGCTACCAGGGACTGGGGGAAAGGACCATGTGGAGTTATTGCTGAGTGGGTACCGAGGTAATGAAAAGTGCCAGAGATGGATAGTGGTGATGGTGCACAACGCAGTGAAGGTAATTACTGCAGATAAATTTTACATTTAAAATCAGTGGCAAATGTTATCCAATATGTAATATATATACATTTTACAACAATTTTTTCTTAACTTTAAAAAACAACTTCCCAGAGGACGAAATCCTGATTGCCCTGAGAGGGCTCTGTTTAAATGTCTCAGCACTCACCGCCTGCGCTGGGGCACTTCGCTTTGATTTCCTTGCAGCTTCTGGGCAGAGATGGAGATAAAGAAGAGCAGGTCCACTGCTTGGAGGAAGTATCGTCCTCCTCTAGAGAATATGCATAGTTTTATTCTCACTGCTGATTTGTCACAAAACCCAGCCTCTCCTTGTCACTAGTCCCAAACGATTCCACCCCCACGGTAGCAGAGTCTCGCTGCCGGGGTCGTAAGGCCCAGAGATATCCAGTGTCATATTCTTTCAGCCCATTTGACCCAACACCCAGCACAGGCTTGATGCATGCCTCCCTCCACATGACCTCACCCTCTGCCCGGCCCTGCCCTAAGCACTGGGCAATCAAAGAAATTAAACATCCCCCCCAAGACCTTGCCCCTAGAGAGAGTTGTTGATAAGTCAACATAAAATTATATTAAGAAGAAAAAATGATAAAAGATAAGTAAGGCCCAGCACATGGGCTCACACCTATAATTCTAGCACTTTGGGAGGCCAAGGCTGGAGGATCACTTGAGGCCAGGAGTTTGAGACCAGCCTGAGCAAGAGTGAGACCCCATCTCTACAAAAAATAGAAAAATTAGCCGGGCATGGTAATGCACAACTGTAGTCCCAGCTGTTTGGGAGACTCAGGCAGGAGGATGACTTGAGCCCAGGACTTTGCGGTTGCAGTGAGCAATGATGATGCCACTGCACTCTATGCACTCTATCCCGGATGACAGAGCAAGAGCCTGTCTCAAAAAAAAGATAGACAAGCTCAGGAGAACAAAACAAAGACTCTGAGGTGAGAGTGCAGAATGCAGAGGCCAGACTGGAGGCAAGGTGGTTGTTTGGGAGTCGGAGGTGGAGGTAGGGGGCTGGGATTGTCTCATGTCTTAGTCACAGAAGGCCTCCTAGTCCAGGTGACACCACCATTTATTCTGAGAGAACAAACATGATTCATCAGTCGGAAGAAAGAGAAGAGAATTTAAGGTGGGGAGAATAGCATGTCCAAAAGCCTGGAAAAAAAATACAGCATAATCTGGCCTGTTAAAGAAATATAAGTAACTTAATGTGGCTGAAACATAGGGTGTGAGGTAGGGAGCAGTGATAAGACCATGGCCAAGAGTTTAGCAGAGGCACGGAATGAAGAAACTTACATGTTAATCTTAAGGCTAAAGAATTTGCAAACTACTCTGAAAGTCTAGAGAAATGACAGTAATCACAAGCTTTGAGGTCACAGGTATTCACCTATAAGTAACTCAGTGCCTACTAGTTGAGTGTCTTGGAGTGATACTTAACATATCTGAGCCTCTGTTTTTTCATTCCTAAAACAAAGCTAATAAAGTGTTTTCGTGAAGATTAAGTGAAAAGATATTTAGAAACAGCCTTTACTTTTTTAAAAACCAATAAATAAATATGAAGAGAAATATGTTTTAAAATGCCATGGTTATTTCTGCTGTAGAGAGGAAGACTGTGGATAGAATATTCTCTGGGTACCAAGCAGACCACACAATTCCCGTGGAAATCCCATGGCCAAGGCCACAGATGTGAGGAGTGGCTGGAAGGGAACACAGTTCTCACCAGAGGCCCTGCAGCGCCACCCAGAGGCACAGAGCTCAACGCAGGACATGCCTCGGGCAACATCCTCACAGCTACAGGCCAGATTCCTCCCACAAGAGGCCAGAAATCAGCACTTCGACTTCATCGAAGTCAACCTCCCTGCATCTCAAAGACATCGCCTGTGGCCCAGGAGAGACCAGCATCCTGGGAACCACCCAGCCGGTTCTGTTCTCCTTGAACACTAGAGCTGAGAGGAGGAACCGCTGCCCCCAGGCAGGTGACTCACCTTCACTCCACCCTCTGGTGGCCACAATGAGAAACAGCAGGAAGCCAAGTTGGTTCACTGTAATCTAAAGAAAAGCAAGAAGGTCACTGTCTTGACCATCTTTTTTCTCTACATTCCTGCTCCCACCCCTGTCCAATCCTACAAAGACTCCAAAGCCCCTTGCATTTTCTTTAAATTTCACACATCTCTGGGACCAAAAGCACACCTGAGTTGAAACCAGGATTCCCCCCACTCACAGACATGTGTGAATCTCAGCTGAGTTCCCTCCAACACAGAGAGCTGCCTCTTCCCTCACAGCAGCCAGGAGCTCAGAGTTAGCTGCCAGCTGGGTGAAGCTTTCTCTGCAAAGGCCCTGATGTGGGGTGAGGCTCTGGGCCCTTTATGGAGAAAGCCCAGTGGGGCCTGGCCCAGGCTTCCAGCCCCACCCTCCCCTGGCACAATGCCCAGTGCAGGTGATGACTCAGGGCAGGCTCTTTATACAGTGATAACTCAGGGAATTAGCAGGCTCTAAAGGACAAACCTTAGAGGTCACCTGCTAGCCTAGATTCTGGATTTCATGCACCTGTGTGTTTTCCAACAACAAAATAGATGAACAGACTAACTAGAGTTGGTTTGGAGTTTTTGTTTGTGTCTTCCTTTCTTGCAAAATCAAAACTTTTTTTAAAAAACGAAACATCTACTATAATCATTTCACAGAAAAAGGAAATTTTAACCACAAAATAGGAAAGGGATCATTTCAAAATAAATATAAAACTTTAGACTGAATAAACTCAATTACACAGAAAGACTTACTACATTGTCCTTAGTTTTCTCATTTTGCCACAAATTAGGAAAAATTTACTACAGAGTGCATTTGAGACTAAATCAAATGATTTAGTCAAATGATGCTTCAAACTTCCTGTAACACTCCTGTCCTGATGTCATCCTTCACTGCTTAAATCCTCCCTTCAGCTGTCATAGAATTGATCAGGTCCTCCTCAGTGATGTCATAGCATTAGTAATATTGCAATTCTTAGGAAAAGATTGTGAATCTCTTTTTCGCGAAGCTAATATTTTCTATCTTTGTAGTTTCAAGGTACTGATTTACACAAAATACTCAAATATATTGAAAGTAGAAAATAAAATTGCAGCCAAGAAGAAAAGCTCCAAATTTATACTTCTTTTAGTACTTTCTTTTACTTGATTCTAAGACACATGTTTTTCATATTCTGACATCTTTAATATCACTATGCATCTCATCCTTAGTGGTATTAACACATAAATCATGGAACAACCTACCATTGGCAGTCTCTAATAGACAAAAGGGGTAGATCTGTTTTAGGGACTTTGCCCCTTCTAACACTGTCATCCCAGATCAGTGACTGTGTCCGGGTGATTCCACCTCCCACTTCCTCTTGAAGCTGTTCTCACACCACCTGCTCCAAATCCCACTGCCCTTGATATTTGTTTAGTTCAGGTCTAGGTCAGTTTGGATGCTTTCAGCTGTGACTGATAGAAAACCCAACTCAAAGTAGTTTAACCAAAAAGCAACATATCACTTCATGAAATCGGAGATCTAGAGAGAGGGCGGGCTCCAGGCTTGCTTGACTCAGCAGCTTCTCGATGTCTCAAGGACCTAGTCTCTTTCAGCCTCTCTACCCTGCCTTCATCCTGTGTCTGAGGACGAGATGGTTATTGCTCTTCCTGGCACCACCTACAAGACAAGGGAGAAGAGGGATCATCTCTTCCTGTGGCTCCTTTTTCAGAGAAAGCAAGCTTTGCTCACAGACCTCCAGCACACTTTTCCTCTTGTCTCCTTGGCCAGAGATGGTCGTGTGCTGTGCTAGTTTGCTAGGGCCGCCATAGCAAAATATCACACACTGGGTGGCTTAAACAACAGAAATTTGTTTTCTCACAGTTCTGGAAGATAGAAGTCCAAGATCAACATGTTGACAGGTCTCTCTCCTGGGCTTACAGATGGCCACTTCCTCTCTGGGTCCTCACATGGTCTTTGCTGTGTGCATTTTAGAGTTGGATTGTTCACACGTCTGAGAGCAATGATGAGCCCATTGCCAATGGTCAGTGCAATTGTATGGCTGGCTGCCTGGCACTTGCCTTCTCCACCTTTCTCTTCCCCTCTTTGGGCCTCATGTGCGTTTTAGAAAAGCTTCCCTGATAATAGGAATCAGGGAGAGGAATTAAGAGGATAACTGTAGAACCAGCAAGGAATGTTACAGCGTTGGCAGTGAAGAGATCTAGAGGAAAGTGAGAGAAATGTTAGGAATTAGCAATTGCAGCCAACTGATATTTCCACTCTACTGCAGCCTAAATTGGAATTGAGGGGTGGACCAGAGTTTGAGGTTACGTTTTGTGTAGTGACAAGCTGGAAATTGTTGGGAGGTAGGGGAGCGTTGATAAGAACATTAAAAAGGGGGATAGACAATTGCTTTTAATGGAATATTGCATTTTGTGGATTTAGATTCCTCATGAATGGTCAGTCCATGTCAGAGTAATTCATATTGTACCTGAGGTGAAAAACTAAAACAAAAACTAAAAAAACTTGACGGAATGTGTGCGCCCTGAGAGACAACAGTGTGGAAGAAACCCCTCCCCCACCACCTCACTCCAGCCCGGCACCTGCACCTCCAAATCACTTGGTTATGTTTTGTTCTTTAAAACAAAGAAAGTCTTATTGTAAAAATCAACACACATACTGAAAAGAATTTAAGACTTAAATATACAGTTTAATGAATTACAAAAAGGCAAATACCTGTGTCATTATCATCCTGGTCAAGAAATAAAACGTTGCTAGCACCCCAGAAGCTTCCCATATGTTCCATCCACATTACAAACCTCTCCCTTTCCCCTGAAGTAATCACTAGCCTTATGGTAATCATCACTTCCTTGTGCCCGTGCCACATGGTTTTTTTGTTTGTTTTTTTTTTTTTGAGACAGCGTCTCACTCTTTTGCCCGGGCTAGAGTGAGTGCCGTGGCGTCAGCCTAGCTCACAGCAACC